AAGAAAGAGTCGTCACACCTACTCTGTGAGTTCCCCTCATGTTTCTTTCAGTTTGACGTCCAAAGTTTAGAACCGTTTTAAGAGTAGAGGAGGCATATAAGGGCTACTGCCTCCGCAATATATCTTGATATTTGCAAGACAGAATTGGAGTAGGAACAAAGTCTTTGATCTCACGCTGCAGTTCGGTGCATTCCTAAATGCTCCAGTGACATCGGCCAAAAACGCCGCCTAACAATTGAACTGGTGGATGCTGTTTGGAGAGACGGACTGGAATAGTTAGGGAAGGTCGGGAAGGTTGAGGGGATGCTTTGACCCCCGGACAGAGCCACACATAACCGGCAGCCATGTGTGTATTTCAACAGTGAATAAGGACCCTCAAGACCCTGGTCACCTCGTCCCTGGCCTATGTCTTCCGGAGGCTTAATGTACCCTCAGCTGCCCGCCACGGTGTTGCTGAGCATTTTTGTAGCCTTTTTTGGCTCTCCTTCCACAAGGTAATACGGAGGGTGCCAAAGCCTTCCCCCAAAGGGGGAGCAGGAGCAGGTTTGAGAGCGAAGAAGCGCTGTGAAGGGGAGACCGTGTCGAAGATCAGGTATTCACTGCCACCTGGCCTTGTGGAAGAGACCGTGTTGGTTTCAACCCATGTGATAGGCGATAGATTCGATAGATCAGGAAGTGTTCAAGTGCAAAGTGGCTGGGATGACCTTTTGTTCATTGCCCTTGGCCTGAGACCAACTTCCAGAAGCTGAAGGGTTGAGAGGGCTCCTGGCGTTCCTCAGGATGAGGCTTTCTTTATTCATGGCGATTCAAGGCCTGCTTCCTTGCCAAGGTGGCTTTCATCAGACCCTTTGCATGCACTGCCTCAAGATCAACGTGCGCAAACACTTGCAAATTATAGCTGCTTGTGTTTGGCGGATGCCTGCTTGATGTGCATGTATGCAACCAGCCCAGCCTAGCCCAGCCCAGACAACTGTGATTAATTAACACTCAAATATGTGTCTTTGGTGACAGGTCCGGGTGAGAGAACCATATCCCTGTAATGACTCAGTGAAACGCCCTGCCGTGTGCCACCGCCGCAATGGCAACGCCCAACATGGCACCTTGGGCGAGTTCTGTCGATGCGTTCGTTGCTTCTCCACCTGTGGCGGCTTGCAGAGGAACACCGCGTTGATCCATGTTGAGTTTGTGAAACGCGCTTATATAGTGAAGTTTTTTGGGGTGGGGTGTCAGTGGAATAATACATAATAATAATTGAACAATAATAAACCTATAGCCTAAAAAGACATTTTATATAATAGATGACCATGATGACCTCGACGTCATAATTACCTGGACCATCTTCAGACTTTGCAAACAGCACTCCCACAGCCCACACGCTCGGAAGCGCCTTCCAAAGCCACGCACCTAGGTCCATCACAGCACTGCCCTTCTCCGAGAAGTATGCTGACCTTTCGCCGGATGACTTGAGCCGTGTCTTGATACCAAAACAATCCAAAATTGTATGTTCTTGAGGCAATATGAGGCAAATGGTCAGTGAATTCATTACAGCCAGCCAGTCTTAATGTTCGGGTGTGTCACGTTTTGCTTGTTATTGAATTATTTACACCCTGCGGGTTGTTCCGCCGGCCTTTTCAGCCAATGGTCCCAAGATGCGGATTACCTTTTGCGTCAAGAGGAAAGACTGCAACAGAGCAGAAAAAGTAACAGCATCATCCAGAACACAGCTGGAGCAACAGAGGAGCCTACATGAAATGACGTGCATTATGATACAATAAGAGAACAGGGAGATGAAATTGGGGGATGCTGCAAATTATAGCCTGCCAAGCAAGAAGACAAATTATATGACATGTGACACAATGAGCGACTTAGACCGTGCGAAGCAGCAAATGTACATAGCATTCCGTCAGACATGATACAAGAGAGTAATGAGGACATGTGTGGCATGGGGATTTCCAAGCAGTCTGAGTTTGCAAAAAACGATAGATACGTGAGTGCAGGTGCAAAACCTGAGAAAAACGCATGCAAAGCAGAAGCGCAATGCATGGACAACGACAAGAGAAGAACGACGATAAGAAGGAAGCGCGCACAACCTTTCACTTTAGCTATGACATATGTCAGCTACATACATTCGGGATGTTCTTGCGGGGGGGGGAGGGGGGGTCAAGTTAGACGAGGCAAAAACTTGCTCCAGAGACACTTTTCCTATTACATTTAGATTCAACATAACTTAAGCTACATACAAGCCACATTGATAAAACACGCCGGCGCCCAAGGGCCGGCGGATTGCTTTATCCATTAGATATGACCCCACCAGACTCTTCTGGACTGATTCAGTGATGCTCTTCGTTGCTCTCTCCGCCCCAAAACGCATCACGTACACACCGCACAGCATGGAACTCTTCGCATCTGAGGCGTGGCTGTGGAACTCTTCGCCGGCCGGTTGAACTGCTCGGCCAGCGGCTCCTGGGCGGCAGCTCGTTGTCACGCGGGGCCATGACGGCCGGAGTAAGGGTCGGCTGAGTGGGCCCATCGCCTTCCCCCTATTGGCGAAGAATCATGTGCTTCTTGCTGGACAAACAAACCTGGTTCGGATGGGCTTGAGCGTGCTTGAAAGATTTGGAGCAGGATGAGAGGATGTTTGGAAGGAACAGTGACAAGAAGGATGAGGTCTACTCTGTCTATAAATCGGAACCAACTGCTCTTGTTCATTCCTCGTCCTTGGTACGGTTCTGGCAGACTCAGCACCCCACACTTCCACACAATCAGCTGTCCAGCACACCATCGATGAGGACATGAGGAACACGTTCTCGATGCTTTGCGACACTACAACGCTGTACCCAACTCCTGCTTTGCAGCCGGCTTGGGGCGGGTGCCGCTTGCTGATGCTTTCCGACTTCTTTCTTGCGAAGGGTGGATTTTGGGCAATTCGTTCCCCTGCAACGGCCAAGTGCCCTAGTTTGACTTGACGATGTCAATCGATTTCTCGATCTTTGAACAAGCACATGCGTCATGCAGCCATGTTTCGTTGATATTGGTCGCAGGCAGGGTGGCGAGGTTTTGCTTGATGCCACCTGTCCGGCATGTCCACTAAGCTCGCAGGTGCTTTGCTGCACGACCCCGAAGGCCAGCCCATGCTTTCAATCTGTGAGCGAGTTCGATGACAACTGCTGTGCCGAGGCCGGTCGTGATAGTTAGTGTGAGCGATGGATTCACCATGATTAACGTTTGTTGAGCGTGAAGAGCACCCTCTCAACCTCGAAACCTAGGGCCCTAGCTCCTCAAGCTCCACGGTCGAGTCAGAAAAGAGAGTCGGCAACATAGTTGCTGTGAACGTTGCGTCCAACGCGTCTTGTTTGCTGCAGGAAGACGCTTGCCTTGTTGCCTTTGAAGCTGTGGCCTCGAAGGCAAGCCGTCATGGGCAACAGGGGCTTTGTGCATGTTCTTTTCCATATAGCGTGGGATGTGTGAAGATCACGGAATAAGAAGCCTGACTGCCTTGCGGAGGCAGAGAATCTTCCAAGTGTAAAGGCGGAGTGGTCCACATATGTGACAATGCGAGCAGCTGGCAAGAGATGGCAAGAGTGAATTCTGGTTTTGCACTTGGAGCTCGTCCGTGCACAGCCGAGGCGGATCAGTTCAGTAGCTGCGAGGAGTTCTTACACTGCGCAGGTGCTATTTTCCTGCCCTGTTTGACGTGGACTTTGGAGGCACTTGCAGAGAGCCACAGTTGATAGACGTGTGAAAATGACCAAAGATTCGAACTGATTGGCATGTCCACGGGGTTTATAGGCCTTACAATAATTGTTTGCAAAGCTATTTCACGATGTGCTGACAATCACGAGAAGCCTTGCTTACAGTATGTTGTTTCGATTCAACCTATTGGTTGTATATACTTGTATGATGTATACGTGCTGGTGCTGTGAGGCAGATCGGATTTTCGAAGATACTTTCGTTCCAAGACTGTTGCTCAGCAGCTTGGCAGAGCTTTCATGTTCCATGACATCCGCCGAGTACAGGAGACGTGGAAGTGATTGGCACAAAGTGTTTGGATGCAGCCTTTGTCAACCATAATGCAGCATATTGGTACGACAAAAGCTTGGCTCGACTGCATAAACTACACGTTTGATGGATGGATATTTTGAGCAAGCTGCAACATTGTGATGTGTTGATCCGTCATAGTGCTACTGTAGAATGCACAATCATGATCAAGCAGGCAGCTCCAGGCTGCTTTTAATGCCATGTGCGCATGAAAGCCAGCGGTGTGCGTATGATTGTCCGTCTTGAGGTGGGCATCGGTGTTTCTCGCTGCATTTCTTCTCCAAGAGCAGCAGCCAATCTGAGCCCGTTTTGGGTGAGGACTTTTGGAATTCTGGCAGCATTTGGCTAGGCTGAAGTAGGTACTGAAGAGTGTGGAATAAGACATTGCAATCTTGAGAAATCACAGCAGGTTGATGTTCTCCAGAACTGTAGTTACTCCAGAACATTTCCAAGTCGTGCGAGCACACAATGACATGGATAGCAACAGTCGGTCTCCTACTTTTTGGCCTTGAAACGCGGACATGATTCACAAAACATGATATTATTTTGATCCTTTACGGAATAAACATGAATAAACACCTGCTTGAATTAGAAGACAGTCTTGGGAAGGTCCATTTCTGTGCGAACGACCAGTGGTGCACTGTGCACTTGAATCAGTTGATTTTCAGCAACAACCATACAGCAGCGCAAGTAGCACCAAGGCTCCTGGGGCTTTGCACACCAGCCGTCACTCAGTTTAGAATGAAGGATTTGAACCGAGCTGTGGGTGTTCTTGTTTGGTACCGCTACCAAACCACCCGACGCATGACATCCAACATCCTCGCAGGGGTTCAATCGACAAATTGGTGGCAGCGAGCGAGTACACTCACACATCACAGGTGGATCCTGGACGCATGTGCGTTCGCATCAAGTTTAAAGGACGTGAAAGGCTTGCTTTCATGTTTGTGTTCTATTTTGGGCCTAGGGATGCAGGCCTGGGTGTGCTGGCGCACCCAGCTGGCAGATTCCTGAGGCCTGCTCAGCAGAGTCCATTAGAACCAATGCTGCGGAGATCATGCCGCTGGCCGAGCGAGAATCGCGAGTTTGCTCAATGTTAGAGGTCTCAGGGTGCATGTTTAAGCCTACGCGTGGAAAACCGCACGTGTAGTGGTTGCATTTTTCGAACACGTACCTTTTCGGAGCTGTCAGATGTCAAAGGCAATATGAAGTTCCTTCCAAGTATGAAGACCAGGGCTGACTACCAGTGCACGTCCCGACCCACCGAAGCTGAGAGTTTGGAGAACAATGTGAGGACATTCGCACCTCCACAGCCGAATGATCTTCCTTCGCAGTTTTCGGGGGGGGGGCAATTTGCATGATGTATTTGCCGATTTGGTCGGACTTTTCCTTCTTTGGCTCCAGTTTTACGTCTTCATGGAGGCGCTCCTGCGCCGTCGCGCTCTTTGCGCGGCCCTGGTCTTAGTGCTGCGGCTGGGCGGCTTCCAGGCTGTTCACAGCGACCTGTCTTCATTCTGGCTTTGCCGTTGGCTCGACCTACAAGATCACCTTTTTGTGTCCTGTCCGAGATTTGGTGTATGCTGGCGCATAAGTCAAAAGGGTGTTTTGACCTGAATTTTTTGTGGAAGATCTTTGTGGCTGGGCGTTTTCATTTGCCGTGGTCGATGGCCATGGAATTAGTGCAGGTTCTGACGCAAGATGTGGAGTCGCCAGGAGCAAGAGCAACACTTGAGATCACGATGGACGAATCTGGCGTTCCGAACAGGAACTTGCGTTGGTCCGCGTTAGATGAGCATGCGATGTTGGTACTGCAGGCTTTTTTAGCGATGTATATGTTTCGGCCGATTTCGGTCTTTGTTGAAAAAAGCCATGAGTGTGTGTGTTTATGCCTCAGGTCTTCCAGTGGTCCGCCCTGGCTCAGGCTGTTTGCAGGTCTTCTCAGGTTGCGGTAAAGTGCTAATGAGCTAATGCATTTGCAGTCACTCACGAACTGGCACGAACGTCGTCAACCTGTCGCGTGAACGTTGGAGCTTTTGGATTTGATGGCCTTTGAACATTGATGGACCTCCACTTCCTTTTAGGTTTCCCTACCTGTACCCTTAGGAATTGGAAACCTAGGCCGGCGTGTGGCACCGCATTCACATCAGTACGCATATCCATGAGTGTGTGTGTTTATGCCTCGAAATCCTTTTTGATAAATTACCTTGCGTCTTGATTTGCAGGAGCTGCTGATGCGGTCAACTTTGGTAAACCGCCAGTGGAAGGCAAGAAGGCGATTGAGAAGAGCGGTGTCTTGGACCACATCATGAGTCACGACGGACTTGGCCAACGAACCGTTCTGTTCTCTGATGGGGCAAAAGTCTATCCTTCTTTGTGTGAAAAGATGCAGGTAAAACACTTTGCTTGTTCTCACCGGTCCGGTCAGTTTTGTCACACGGTGAAGTTCAAGAGAAAGACTCTGAAAGTTCATACGGGCACGATTGATGGAGTTTGGTCTTTGTTGAAAAAAGCTTTGCCCAAGCAGATCAGAACCACGGATGTCACCGATAAGACAAAGATCAATCAGAAGATCTGGCGTCACGCAAGGGCGTGGCAGTGGCGATGGGAACATGCCAAGCATGATTCCCTGGCCACACTTACTGCGAAAACGCTGCGAGGCATGTGAGAAACAGGCGCAGATGTCCTGTGATGATACATTCTTTCTTGAAAATGAGATCTCATTTTAGGCATGGTCAAGCATGTTTTGTGTGGCAAATACCAAACCAGTTGTAAAACCCCTTAGAAATACACTCATTTCTCTGCATTCAACTTGCAAAAACACTGCAAATACCACGCTGGAGTGCTATAGATAAAAGCAAAAAACCACCAGACCACACGTTCAGAAACCCACGCGTCGGGATGTTTAACGACAGGTTCTCCCATGAAATCTCATTTTAAAACAACTGTCGGGGCCTTGATAGGCCTAGCATGGGAGGCTAATATGTTGCACCCAAAGAGAGTCTTTGCGACCGGCCGACCAAGTCGACAGAGAGAGAGAGAGAGAGTTGACATGCGATCTTGGGCACTTTTTTTGAGAGATGGCAGACATCGGACTTAGGCATGACATTCACCTCCCGAGCATCACGGGCATGCGCGCGATAGACATTGAAACCTGTCCTGATGGGATCAATCTGAGTTGCCCATACTTGTCCATAGTTGTCTACCTTGGAGTTCTTTGTATTGACTCTGTGACGCTTTGTTGTTCCCTCCTTCACCTGCGACATGTTGGAACATGTGTCCTTTGGACCCACTTCCTCTCAAGATGCTAGCGCAGCTCCCCTCAGAAGCAGTTTGTGACCTGGAGCTTGCAGTGAAAGTGTCAAGAAAGATGCCCCATTGCGTTGAATTGGCATGAGCTGTTTCGGACAGAATCAATCCCCTTGCCCACGGGAGTGAGCGAGAACTCTCTTTTTGCCCAGAACGACTTGAAGCATGTGGCAGTCAACGAGCTTGTTCATTGGGCCCAGCTGCGAATAGACTTCGCTATTGCCACTTGGAGCAGCTAGTAGACTAGACGCCACAACTCGCAACCTGTTTACAAGTAAAGCCGTCGCGGACCATGTATCAATGTACAGGAGTAGAAAGCAGCAGTGCAATGCCAAAACATGCCAAAACCATGGAAAACGATTGCCTGTCACCTCATGGCTGCAGTCAAGAGCCGAATGTGAACCAACCTAATTTCCTAATTTAACAAGTTTTGACATGCCTTATCATGCCTTGACTGTGGGATCGATTTCTGAATATTTCTGGGCTGTTGGAACTCCATGTTTTGGGGGAAACCTCTCAGCTGATTCAGACACGTTTGGCGGCCTTTGCTGTTCGATGAGGTTGGTCCACCCAACGCTGGCACCTCTTCACTGCAGAAAACCTTGAGCAAACATCCAAACATTCGATTTATCGATGGGATTCATGCCGCTTGAAGTTTGAAGCAGCCTGGGTCCCTGGGTGGACGGGATGCAAAGATCAAGAGCAAACTTGCCTGTGTTCATGATTCAGGATTAAAAAGCATATGAAATGGTGCGCTATGTGAAAGAGAGTGGCGAGCTTGAGCAAGATGAAAGCGCTTCCACGTATAGAGCATGTGCTTTCCAAGCCTCCCAGTATCTTTGACGGGCGCCAGATCCACTTCTATCCATTGCCATGTGTTCGTCACTCCATCAACCTTCACTCCGGTGTAGTAGGCGGACCTTGGTTGCTGTTTCTAGCTATTCTAGTGATCCACTTGAGGAGAGTCCAGAGGCGCTGTATATCCGAGAATTTCCAACTTACTCCCCTGACGCTTATGGTGCTTTGGCACTGGTATAGTCCACGGCGAAGATGCTACCCGCACCATTTTTGCCAAGGGCCTCCTTTGAACATGTTGAACCGGAATCCAACGCTGCAACGCTGCAACCCTCCAACCAATGAGTCGCACCGGTCACACCGAAGGAACTCTCAGTGCCGAGCTCTTGGCATCGGAGCATTGAGTTGTGGGGCTGGCAATGCACCGCGCCCAAGCTGTTGCCCAAGCATTGGGCTGAGGATCACCTCATCGAGGTGGCCAAATCAGCGGCCTGGGGGTGGTCAATGGTTCCACTGCTGCTTTTTGGGCTGACCTCTACGTTGACATCTCCGCATATGGAATGTAGTGGCAAAGCAGACGCGAGCGACCTAATCAATGCTGCGACGCCCGTTAAATGATGTTTGCTCAGTTGTTTGCTCTATATATTTACTCTATGTTGTGCTAAGGGACGGCAGGGTGCGTGGAAAATGCTGCCGCTCAGGGGACCGTTGGATTGAAGTCCAAGAGACTGGTGAGGGCTCGGGATGCTTGATCAGGGGATCCACTAGGTAAGGGATCAGGGGACCCATTGCACACTTGGCAAGGGATTGGGTGCAGGTGCTTGTCTAATTTTAGTTTTAGTGTGAGTTCATTTCAATGCAAACTCATGGTGTCGGACATCATGGACTTGAGCTGAGTTTCTTTGACATGGTCGAAGGAGCAGGTTGTGGCTGCAGATGGTTGCGGCTTCTTTTGCCTATAGACAGGAATTTGCATAATGCAAGTCCATCTTCAACCAAGTTGTTCAATTCTATTTGAGACACACTGTGAACTGACTGTTGTTCGGGCCAGTGTTCGCAGGTCATGTCTGGCAAAGGCTCCACGAGCTCTCCAGCCATAGCAACGTGGATTGAAGGTACTGTGGGACATGGATGGACATGGATCAAACTGTGCGATGATGATGGATGGACTTTGACCCTTTAGATGCTGGACTATGTGCACATTGTGGTGCGGTGGGTGTGGCTAGAAACTAGGGACTTGCGCAACTGCAAGATGCGACAATGCCACAGGTGTTTCCCTGCCTGCTGAGCTAGATGGGTCCACCATCCTCAATCCAGGTTCATGTGACTGTTTCCTATCGGCATTGAAGCAACATGGAGGGAACATGCGTTGAACCGCACGAGGAACCGGGTCATTGCAGCCGCCTGACACCTGCATGTTTGTTGTACAGAATTTAATTGTTTGAAATCCGGAGTGTCGGAATGGCAAAATACCAGGTCCAAAGTTTGTGATCGGTTGATGAAGCTTCAATCTGAGGTTGGCTTCAGAAATCCCAAGTTCATCTACAGCAACTGGGTGATGAATAGATGTGCATTCCTGCGTGCTCCACGCACATGCAATTCCTCTCCACTTTCATATGCGTGTGTGTGTTACAAACCAGTTCTTTTTGTGTTCAGATGCCCAGACCATGGCAGACCTTGGCTAAAACGGCCGAGGTAAGCAGTGCTTACAGAATCTGAAGTCTATTCCAGGCACTGATTCGGGAAAACACCGGGCACTGGCCTCTATTCAAGAACAGCTTTCAGAAAGCTTCACTCAAAGCTGCAGCAAAATGTCCAAAACCACTCTTGACTGATGCGACTTCCATATGAGCTCGCCAGTCAGAGTAGGCCAATACTCCCTTTCCACTGCTTGGCATATTGCACACCTCCAATCCAAATTCCACGAGTTGTATAATTTGGTTTGGCAACCTTGGCAGAATTATGTATGTTGTTGCGCCACATCCTGGTTGCTTTGGCTTGATTGAATTCATATTCACATATTCTTTCAGACTCTTTGTTGTGTAGTGTTGACAGGCATCAAGATTATTACAATGTGGCGAGATCCGATTGATTGGATGTGGAGCTCACTGTCAAGGGCATATGAAGCTGGCTACAAGTTAAAACTGCCACTGGCACTGCCTGAGCGAGCTGCCCGTCCATTTTCACCAAAGCCCCAAATGAAAGGTACAGGTGAAATTCAAAAGAGTTCAGTCCGTTCAGGTTTCATAAGTGGTTAATTGCAGCACATGACTGAAGAAGCGTGGGTGTGTTTGCTGGGTCTCCTGGCCTCTCTTGTCAGGAAGGCTTTGACACCTCCCCCGAGGAGAAAACGTGCGCGCCAAGCCGGAGAGGGCTGGATGAATTTGCTTGGTAGCCCCCGAACTACCTGTTACTGATAGTTACTACTTCACTACATGTTTGCGTTCAGAATTTGCAGTTGCGGCGTTCGTTCTGACATGAGACGTGGCTCAATGATTGGTTGAGTTAATGTGGCCGCAACCCATTGCTCAAGTTCCTGGCAACAGCTCACTTGAGGTTTAACGAAGTACGCACAGAAAGGAAACGGCGGCCACAGTCTCAAAAAACCTTTTTTGAGGTATTCGGACTTCCTGCGAATTGCTTGGCATTGTTGCAGCCCACACCCTGTTTTGGGGCTCTCCAGCTTCAGCTTTGACAAAATATTACAGTGACAGAAGTCATAGTCATACATTCATGTTTATATATATTTGTGTAGATACAAACACACACACATATAATATATATATACGCACACATATATGCCACTGAGGTCTAAGGAACCAAGCAACAAGTCCCCGGCCGTTCGTAGTTCCCAAGATTACTCGACTGCAAGTTGAAGAGAGGAGCAGGAAAAGAACTGCCATGATCAAGTGTTTCCTATGCACATCCCTTCGCCTGCTGTAGAGTGGCTGCAAACCTTGGAGTCCAACAACCGGAAAAACTCCATTCCAGGACTTTCGACGTGCGTGGCACCAACTGGCTGACACTGACAAGGACAACATACTCGCAGCTACCGACACTGAGTTGGTTTCCAAATCTTTCCAAAGGTCCAACGAATGCGCTGCATGTCTTTCCAAGGAGGTTGTGGCAATGAGCCGTGCTGGCGGAGGCACGCTGACACTGTCGCGGATGTGCTGTTATCGTGTGCTACACTACGGTACTGGAAGGTGGCTACGACTGCTATATCATACTACTGCTCCTAATCCTGCTCCTACGACTCCTACCCCCTTACGCGACTTCTCGTGCCTTTGCTCAGTTCGGGCCTGGGGATCCTTGGAATGGGGTGGAAATAACTACTGCGGCGGTCAATTTACCGACTTTACCGTAACATTCATTGTGTGCATGATGGATTTTCATTGACTTTCAGAGCTCTAAAGGTGCCGTGAAGACACTGCATCCACCTGGCCAGGCCTTTCCGAGTTGAGTATGTGGCGTTTAGGCGTTCCGCTGAGCGCCAAAGCGGCACTGCTTCATCAGAGATACCAGGAACTGCAGCAAATGTTTCAGGCCACGGATTGACTGGGAACCTGACGAACAGATGAGACTGATGAGACTGCAATGTCGGTCGATGAAGGAGGATGCACCTTGACCTCCTTGACAAGATCAGATGCATGTTGGACTGCTTGCCCACTATGGGCGCACTGATTGAAAGACTATATAATGGATGTTCAGGCAGTGGCACATAATGGATGTTCAGGCAGTGGCACAGCCTGTGCCCAACGTGGGGGGTTGGGCTTGGGAACTTATGATGGTTGTTGGCTCTTATTGTTTTTTGTATCCCTCCAGAGTGGGGCTGGAGAGAGAAGGGGTGGGATGATGGAGTCCATTGAAGTCCTCTCACACACAAGGTGTTGGCTTCCAATTGCAACACGTTCACATCACTGATTGAACGGATTGGCAATGACGTTTTTCATTGGACCTGTGCAAAGGGGATCTCCACGTTGGCAGCATGTGCTACACATGAGCGCCGCCAGGATCGCATGTTAGTTCTTCCATTCAGCTGGCTGCGGGATGATTCATTGAAGTGGATCCAGGCGGCATCGGATTTCCTGGGTGTCTCCGCACCTTGCCTGCACAGATGAGATTGTGATCGGGTGTGGCATGAGGGCCAGGCAATGGGGAAGGAGAGGAAGCAACATGATGTTGCTGCTGCACGGCAAATTGTTGTTTTGTTTGCGATGTTTCACCCTACAATGTACATCCACACCAATTCCGATCCTTATCCTCCAACTCCCAAAACAACCAACCTCACATGCCTTCAACTTCGGCTACAAGCCCTCATCCTCCAACTCCCTTTTTTTCCCCGCCCCAAGACCTTCCTCATCCTGCCAAGGTCGACGCAATGCCATTGCTGTCTCACAATGTCCGTCGAAGAAGGAGCGGCCCAAGGCCGCGGACCGGCCGTGTTTTCCGGTCTTCCGAAGGCCTCGGACCGCTCACATTCTCGGAACTGGCATTCTCGGATGCAGGCTGGAGGACATGGCAAGCAACGACACTTTGACATTGCAGCTCTTTTTCAGCCACCCGGAGAAGACGCCGTTGATGGAAGAAAGCCTGTAAGCCCTGAGCGTTACAAACCTTTCCAAACCTTTTTGCGTTAATAAATGTATATTGAGGCTTGTTTATTCTGGAACAATCTGGAACATATCATATGTATCAGATTATAGGATTTGCGACAATCTTTTTCAGCACAACCTTTTAACCTCAACAGTTTGTCCGCGATAAACAGTTCACCGATGTGTTGATCCTGAGGAATTGAATTAATTCAATTTCAACGGTTCTTATCAAGAAAAAGCACATATGATACACGAAAATGCTACTGTACTATATTATGTTATATGTTTGCTAGCGGGCTGAGAACTGCGCTAGTAGTCGTGCACTTTTTATCAAAGCAATGATCATCATGTCACACGTTGCGTCAAAGTCAGAACCTTTCATTTTTACTGTAAATAACAGTGTTTTCTCATGTTTCCTCCGTGGCAAGATCTTATATGTTTATGTTGCCTTTATGCTTTCTTTGCTGAAAGTGGCTTGTGTTTCCGAGTTTTTGCTTTTAATGTGCATCATAGGGGGGTGGGGGGGGGGTCAATGACGTACGGTCCGCGATGTCGAACGTCTTCGGCTTTTTTACACAATGCATCTTGGGTTGCTCCTGTCGCTGGTTCAAGTTTTTTCAATTTTTTCATCCTGTTACTTCGTTTTACCGAGTTCCAGGATGCGGAGTGTTTAGACGGTCATCTGCAGCAGTGATTTCGTATCAGCCCTGACTTTATAGACTCTCTGTTGCAAACCTGGTGTTTGTCCGTAGGAGGGGGTCCCCTGAAGTGCTGTCGACGGTGTGCATCGATGACCGGTGGTTTTTACACGTAGATCTTGTAGAACAACACGTACCTCTACTGTCTCTGCTACGGTGGACGAGTTTAATGTTGTCAAGAGAAGGGGGCCACAGCCGTCACTGGATGTCAACACAGGTTCCATAGATGGGTTTTGTGCTCGCGCGAAGATGGCAATTCCCACATCCATGCACACACTCATGTCCAATGGTGAAGTGTCAACCCCCAAATCTTGTCCAAAGGTACTCTTGCAAACACCGTTTCAAACGTCCTTCGACGCTGACGGGAAAATGGTTCAAACGCAACGCTTGGCTAGAGTTTTTTTGAATTTGTGCTTCGCAGTAGCGAAATAACAAAATGCCTTCAAAGGCCACCAAAAAAGTGCAAAATTCATGGGTGCGTTTGTCAGCAAATGTGTATTTCGTTTCAGTGAAACGCAAAGCAATTGGAAATGAGACGTGAAAGGCTTGTTTTTTGTTAGTCGAATGTGCCGAAACACAGGTTTTTTTGAGAGGTTTTTGAACCCACTGGTTGAAGGTTGACGACCCAAAAAAACGCAAAAGCGCAGGCGCAGTTGTCAGCCCGGCGGGATGTTTATGTAATGTATATTGCTTTATAAATTTTGAAATATTGCATACTATCCAACAAAAAAAATATATATCAATTATTGTTAGTTGTAATATGAAAATAATGATATAGCTAATAGAAATGAAGGTAGGTTGGATGGTTAATAATATTGCTATTTTATGAATTCGATGATTGGATGAATGGATAAAAGGACGAATTATATTAAACGATAACAAATTGATAATTTGAGGAGTGAAAAGAATTGAATATTGATTTATTTATGATATAGATATAAACAAATATTGGATTAAATGGAATTAAAGATATATAAATGGTAATGGATGAATTATGAAAAAATAGGAATATATTAATTTAAAGGAATATTAAGAGGAAATGATAGATGTGTTAATATATGAATGATTTGGATGAAAAATTTTGTTTATATATAAATATAACGAAATTAAATAGAATATGTTATAAATAATAATTATTTAGAATAATGTGTTTTTGACAATATAGAAAATTTAATATTGTTATATTATTTTCGAAATAATGTAGTTATGTATTTAATATTGTTTAATATTTTTTGTTATAAATATGTATAGATTATATTGAAATAAATGGACGTTATTTATTATGGAATAGGTGGGTAGGATATGAATTTCGATTGCGATTTTAATTAATAAAGGGAATTGAAATTATTCGCGCAAAATAATTTGTTTTGAACGGTTGTATTTGATAATTTTTTTTTTATAATGGAAATATGAGCAGAGATTTTTTATGACATGAAAGGGTTTATACAAGATGTAATCTTCAAAAGGCTGGCGTAGGCAACCTGCTTGGGAACGTAGGCATTGTATGGTCTAATGTTTGCCGTAGGCGACCGAATCGATCGAAATAGCATGCCTTGAAATTACCCAGCTTGCGTTTCTGATTCAAACTAGAATTGACCGTGTTTTTTTTTCTCAGTTTCTTGTAGCAGATGTCTTTCATCTCATAGTTTGAGACATGAATCAGGGCAGTTTGCAAGAGCACCCTCTTTTGTGTTATTTTCCTGGGGATTTTCCGTAGGTTCTCCGTACAGGCACCGTAGGCGAAAATGCAATTGTTTATCCTTCCCCTATGTCCGCTTGCCTATAGTACTCTCAAATAGATGTTAACACCTATTGTGCCGAGAAGTATTCCCAATATCGAAGACATGGGGAGACTATACGCGTCAGTGCACGTCCCGCGTGGTATCGTCCCTCGCCTCCGAAGTTATGTCCAAAATTCATGATGAGTGTGAAGTCGTTGTTTGCTTATCAGTCTTCCGTTGTGAAGCACATAGCCAATGAAACCAACTTGCCCATCGTAGAGTGCCGAGCTCATCATCTGAAAGATAAAGGGATATAAAGGGTCAACTGCTGCGTAAACGTTTCCACTCGCAAGAATTGCATGGTACCGTAGGATACCGTAGGCAAGTTGGAAGAATAATGCTCCAAAACCTCACGTTCGTAGATTTCCCGTAGGCGATGTGGAATAAGCCATGTCTGTCGTAGGTTTTTCACTGTGGAAACGTAGCCAAACCGTAGGGTTCTACGTAGGCACCCAAGGATGATAACACCACCACGTCTTTAAAAAAATCCCTACTCATATGATATTTTACGACATATATAAATATATTTTCGAAATATTAATTAAAATTACGAAAGGTAGCCGATAGGTTAGGTTTGAGGTTTTAGAGCGAACGAAGTGAATAATGGTCGTTGAGTGACGAATAGAAAAATTATGAAAATGAGATTTGATGATGCGAATGATATGATGGACGTGCAGAATTTTGGATGTTATTTGGATATTGAGTGGAATTTGGTTTATCTATGCATAGGATAGATTATAATCGTATATAGGATGGGAATTCATAGGATAATTCGTAAATCGCGAAATATGTAAAGAATAAAAATAATATATTTTATGAGGATGATGATATATTTTTGAATATTAATAAATTGATTAGTTTTATATATTATTGATATATGACATCGTCTTTTTGTTGGTAGGTTTGATGGAATGTAGGTAATCTGGGGTTATGGTCCAAAGATCTATATTCGTAGGTGCCAAAATTAAAAATCTTTGAATGAAAAGGATATAGAATTATTAAACAACAGAAAAGATTAAAGAAGGTCTTTGCATCATTTAATGGTGGCCATCTTAAAGGAAAAAGAATATAATTTCAATTGAATTAGAATATAATATATTTAAATCCAGACATCTGCATCGATAGGCGTATAAATGCGCCGTAGAATCAAAACATCCGTGTCTCGGATAAAACATATTTATATATTCTTCCAAATTAATGCAGGTTTTTTTTTTGAACGTCAGGTAATATGCATTGCAAATTACAAATCCTCCAAATGAAATAAATATATAATTGTTGCCGTATTCGCGCGCCAGCGCGGCGACGCTCACCATTCGATTTCAGACGGCATTTCTCCTTCGCTAACGTTGATGTCACCCTTTCAATTTCCACAAGGTGCATATTTTCCTGTGTATGACAAACAGATGCCATTACCTTATGAATGATGATAAATTATATCAACATACAACGTATCGTATTTCTCTTGCATTACTTCTTTCATACTAAATTTATCCCAAAACCGCCCGATTTGCTTGTCTGCTCCTTCAATCACCATTATATACGCCCCCCGCATCCGCGGTGCCGCTGACTGGCAAGCAAGCTGCCGACCATGTGTCTTGTGCCGCGACGCCTGCCAGAAAAAGATATATTCGTCTGGCGGTTGCTGGCTTTCGTCCCCCCTTCTCAGGTTTGTACTTGTTTTATTTGGTCATGTTTATGTGGTTATATATTGATTTTTGGAATAAGTTGGAGTGATTGGCGGCGTTGTTGTTATGATATAATATTTCTTCGGTTGTTGTATAAAATATTTTTTGAATAGTTATTTGATATAGTTTAAGATTTGTATTTTTTGTTTAAAAAGTAAGATTCTTTAGGAATTAATTTCGGAATTTATTTTTTTGATATAAATATTAATTATTCGATTATTCGTTGATTACGTAAATTAAATGATATGTTATTTAATTCTTGTTTATTCTATTGTATTATAATATTGTTTTTTATAATATATATATTATAGAAAAATGAAATAATTTAATATAATTAATTCTTTCCCTTCTGCATTGATAAGATCCTCTAATAAAAATGAGGCAAATACCGCACCGGAAAATATTCCGCGCAATAGCGCACCCAAAAATTCACATAATAATCCATATATCCTTATATTACTCTTGAATTTTATCAAAGAAATATTGAAATCATAATATGAAAGGAAAATATACTGCACAGGGTATATTATAGTACAATTAGAAAATCATACATATTACAATATCCCTATCGATTACCTAGGGGGGTCACCTAATTACAAATTACAATTTCCTAGCGTTACAAATACTAAATCACTTGAAAAAGATATCATTTACAAATTTTGAAGCCTCTCAATTGGTCAGACATCCCATAAGCCAGAAAATATGATTTATATTTATACAAACATATAAGTTAGATTTATAAGGTTTCATTGAATATTATTGCATTTATCAATGTGTCAAAATAGAATCAACCGGATTGAAAATATAAATATATACGTCGGAGACCATAAATTACATTTT